GAGCGGCCGCACACTGCTCGGTACCCCCCCTGCAATTCTAAGCCCGTCCCTGCTCCTAGGGGGGGGGGTCTGACCCCCCCAGCAGCAGAGCGCTGCTGCTGGGGGGGGGGTCCCGACCCCCCCAGCAGCAGACCGCTGCTGCTGGGGGGGGGGTCGGCCATGGGCTTAGGTGTGCAGGGGGGGTAGCGAGCAGTGTGCGTCCGCTCCTGGTAGCCGTGACCAAATCTCAACATGTTCGCGCCGTGCCTTTATCATTTGACCGGCGCGCACTCGAACTCCTCGCCTGCCCTCGGACCGACGGGGACGACGGGGAGCGTCGTGCAGGACGCGTCGGAGTAAACTTTGGTGTAGAGCGTAGGGGCCTTAAAGCCAGGCATCTTGGGCGGGTTGAGCAAGTCTTGGAACTCGTGCCGACACAGCGAAAGCTGGGTCGAGCTGAACCCGCAGCTCAAGCCCTTTTCATCCGGAAGCCCGACCTACAATTAGGGTGATGAGCTGAATGAGGGAGATGAGCTGAGGTGTGTGTAATGAGCAGTGAGTTGAGATATTCGCGCCACCACTGCAATGGCCAATGGGGGCGAATCGACGGGGTGTGCGAGTGCGAGAGATGTGGCGAGAGGGGGGCACCACCGCACTCTCTGGAGGGAGGGAAGGGGGAGGGGGGGGGGGGGCGTGTCTGATTTGCGACAAATGAAATCCAGCTTTTTAGTACCGCGGAAGAGGGGGACGGAGCCCAGTGTGCTCTCATATGACCCCCCCTTGCCCTCCCTCCCTCCCTCCCTCCCCTTCGCCGCCCCCCAAAAGAAAACGGTTCTCCGCGCGGCATCAGCCAAGTCGGGCTCGATCTGGTAGCCAACCACTGCAAGGACATCCAGTTGTAGCCGTTGACCAAATCGCGATGTTCAAAGATAAGTGTCGCTGTCAGCGGCTGGGCAAGGGCTTGCAACATGGCAAGAGTGTCACGGTCAGCTGCGGGGCAGGACCCGTCTCTGGAGGGGGGGGGGGGGGGGGTCTTCTTGGGGAAAAGGGTCCCGCACCCCCATCATGCGCCCCCAGGATGGCCCGCGTCAAAAGGGGGCTGCTCTCGGGGAAACCCCCCAAACAGGGATCCCGGGCCCTTTTGCGGCGAAACGGGGGGGGGAGGCCCCCACAAGGTCCGCGCGCCCCCCTTTAGGGGCCGGAGCACCTCCCCCCCCAAGAAACCCCCCACCCTCCCCCCCAGGAAAAAAAAAAAAAACTTGGCCAAACCCTTGTAGAGGGGGGCTTCCTTGGGGGTTATTATCCCCGGGGCCAAAACTGTGGGAATTAAAATGCGTGGGGAACGGGACCTGAA